GTGGTTGTCTGGGTCTGAATTAGGCCAGAGAGGTGGGGTTTGGGTGGATGGCTAACGTTCCGACAAATAGGGTACCGGCGACAACTTCTACAAGCAAGGCCAATTGCTGCCCGAGAACCTGGAGAAGGCTGCCCGGGAGGCCGGCGTCGAGGGCATCAAGGTCCGCTACCAGCCGGATTACGATCACAGTTATTACACGATGGCGACGTTCTCGGATGATCATGTCGAGCATGCGGCCAAGTATCTGTTTGCTTAGTGGGTTTTTTCTCCCTTTCCTCTTTTGCTGTTTTTTTTGTGGTGAGGTTTATGTACCGGACTGGGTGGAAGAGCCTCAGGCTGGGGAGGATTGGAGATTGTGTTGTGTTAATGGACTTGGTTCTGATAGGTTTGAGGTTTTCGACTAAAGTGACCGTCCGCCGAGACCATCTCTTTGAAGTAGACAGGGGGTGGCATAACTATATGATAGGTAATATTGGGGCTGAGAGGATCTACGACGGACCACGTATATAACATGTTTCAACCGGAGAACCGGAAAAGAGTCACCATCAATAAATAAACTGTTGTCAATAAAAGGTACCTACCTACACCCACCCGTCGCAGCCTCAAACCCAACCTACTCAACCCGCACAACCACCCGATCAACCCCATGCATCTCCTCCGGGAACCGACACCCCGTCAGCTCATGATCCCGCCACGACTCCCGCGGACACTGGTGCCCGCACACGCACTTCCGGTTCGTGCACCACAGCCCCTCGCCGCACACGCTCGTCCGCGAGATGCACCGCAGGTCGTGGAGATCCTGCGCGCTCGTCAGCCGCCGTCCGTGCGCGTGCGTGCAGCTGTCGCCGTAGCTGCAGTCGTCCTGCAGGTGGTACCGGTTGCAGAGCTTGGCCGCGCGGAGGCGCTCGTAGTTCTCTTTGCTGCTCGCGCGGCGGAGCGGGGGATCGATGCGTTGGTCTTGGGCGTTGTAGTGGATTTGGGGGAGTGGGGGCGTTGAAGTGACGAAGGGGGAGATGTCGAAGACTATCGGGGATGATGGTGAGGTTGATGATGAGGGTGATGATGGGCTTGGTGTTGAGGAGGTGGGTGTGGTGGCTGAGGAGGAGGACGAGGAGGGGGTGGACGAAGGGGTTATTTGGAGGTTAGCCTTCGCGATGGTAGCATAGTCCTGCCGGGGAGGAGACGAGGATAGTGCGCCGCCGGCGGTTGGTGGAGCAGCGGCAACGTTGGCTGAAGCGGTTGCAGCGGCGCTGAACGAGGATGCGCAAGCGGGGAGCTTTGCAGCCCGGAATACCGCTGGGAACGCGGTTGTCCGAAATTCAGTGGCTAGCTGTTCGATCTCCCATGCGAATGGCGCCCCCTCGACAAGGGTGATGCGGTTGCTCCCCCTATGGGAGCCGAGTAGCCGGGCGTAGCCGTTGTCCGTGGCGGCGCAGAAGATGATATGGCGGCAGTGGACGTCGAGGATGTCGCGCTCGAAGGTTGCTGGTTTGTTGTCAGCCAGTCAGACAGACTATTTGTGCCGTACAGTACATGCAGCAGAAGAGGGGGCAGGTTGGGAGGTCGCATACCTCGGATCTTGACATCGGAGCATTCTTTGCCGTTTCCTGCATCGATAAAATCACACTGGCTGTCTTCCATGTTGAAGCCCCGGACGAACGGGTCGAGGGTCTCCGTCGAGGACAGCACTTTGGCTTCCCGGTAGGCCTTCTCGAGACCGGGCAGGTTGGCATAGATACAAACTCTGTACTGCAGGTTGGGACTGGCTTGGGGGTCGGTGTCCCGGACGTAGCGCTCAACGGACTGGAGCACAAGTCGTGCAGCTCTGCGGCCGCCGTCGTGGCCTTCTTGAATGAGGGCGTCGTTGAACTAGCTGTATTGTTAGCTTACGTAGGGCGTTGGAGAGTCGGAAGACGTACGTTCATACAGTCCCCGTCGACGAGGATAGACACGAAGCTTAGCTTTGCCTGCGTCATTAGTGTCTTCATTTAGACTTGCAGTTTGTGTGGATAAGTAGGAACAGTACCTGATCATGTCTCAGATCTGCAACCTCCGTCTTGTATTGGGCAAGTTCTTGGATGAAACGGGACCTCTCATTCTCCTGTTTGGTGCATTCGTTGAGCAGAGCAGAGTGAAGCGTCTCGACCGCGAAGAATAGGTCCTATTGACAATGAATGGCCAGTCAGTGATTGCTCCTGGGGTTCAACATGGACAACAGCAAGAACCCACTTGTATCAACCTGTTCTTGCAGTCATCGACTGCCATTACACTTCCAAACCGCTTCCTCAGCCCCAGTAGATCCATTGGAACCTGAGGTGGGCATAGAACGCTGGTCAACTCTGCATCCATAGTCCTCAATTTTGGACAGATGGTCTTTGGTATCACCCGCAGAATTTATTCTCATTGCCCGCTTTTATAGCAGGACTGAGGTAAATCATCCACATGGTGTGTGAGCTGTGAGAAGTGATAAATTGACCGTATCGTTCAATGCGGCGATTCGAAGACATTTCTGGCGCAGGCGGCGGAGGCGTGACGCATCACGATCTCACACCCAATGGTCTTCCGGTTGAAATCGAGGGCGAGTGAAGGCCGGGCTATGTTGTTTGGGGGTCATGCCGGTGTGATGAGCGTTGAGCGGCTAAGCGGAGAGGTGGGTTGGTCTCCATTGACTGATGGGCAATTGTAAGCGCCAGGGGAGCGGAGCACAGTCACGGGTCAAGCGCTCATCCCCTGCATTCTGGCTGTGCCATTGTGGCAAAGTATGGAGAGATGGACGATTTCCGTTGGGCTTTGGGGGGTTCTGCCTTGGTCACAGTGGTGATTGCTGACTTGGTGATAGGTGTAGTTCTAGGACTACTTCAGTCTCGACGGCGGAGTTGGCAATATGCCTGGAGCCTACCTAGTATTCAGAAGTAACCAAGGGAGAGAGCTGCGCTATTGGACGTGCCCTTACTTTACTCTCTCCATTCCATCGTTGTGACAAGGCTGCTGTTATGTTGAAACATTCGAAGTCTGCATTCGTCGCTCGTGTTATCTCTCATGACAGAGCATAGAACATAAAGCGTCTCGCTCAAGTAACAGTCTTACAGCAGCAACTCAAGCCAAGCCACAGGTACGAAACTCTTCCAACTGAACACCTACTTGCGCCTCGCCATCTCTGCTCGCCAGTAAGAGTCCACCTCCTCCTCAATCTTCTTTCGCGCGCCCGCCTCAACGTCACCTTCCACCATCTTTCCAGCCGAGCGCATAGCCTCACAGTCCCAACAGAAACAAGCCCCGTACGGCTCCCCCGTCGCAGCCTCGTACAACTTTACCGTCGTATCGAACCCCCCAGTAAGGGTTTCTTCGCCAAGCTTATCATCATGATTGATATACCGTCCCGTCCGCTCAAGCATCGACTCTTCGTACAGGACCGCACTACACAGATGCGTGTGCCAAACCAAATCCACGTCCAGGGTCGGGACCAGCATTGTTCCCGGGTGCAGACGGAACAAGGTGACAAAGCGCTCGTAGCGCGCGAGTGCCCGGGTGAGGGTTCCCTGGAGCGCGGGACTACGGATCCAGAGGAGGTCATGCATCTTGTCAATGAAGATGGCTTGTCGGAGGATGTTGTCCACTAGTGGGATGTGTTCTGGTGGGGTTTCGGGGGTTATTGCTTTGAGAGTGGTGGCTTCATTGTCCGAAAGGGCAGTCAATAGGTCTGGTGCGATGTTCAGCTCGTTGCGAAGCCAGGCTGAGGTCTCGCTGGGGAGAGTATAGTCCCAATTGTCGTGGAATAGGGCCTCGTGCTGGGGTTGCGTTAGAGGCGGGAAGCATTTGGGATGGGTTGGGAGAGGTCGGCTGGACTTACTATCGCTTCCCACGGGAATGAGAGGCCTCGGATGTGATCCAGGTGGCTTGTGTTGCAGAACTGGGAAAAGTCGTGTGGGTTGAGCAGGAAGGCATGCCATACCATGAGTATGTCTGCAACTGTATCAGTAGTGATCATGTCATTTGCAACAACCGGAAAACTCACCAAGCGGAGGTAGAAGGAGAGGATCCCTCCCCTCAAGGTGCTTGACTTCGAGATGATGGTTCGATATTCGAACCCATTGCTGAAATCTGGTTACTGCAATTGACAGAAACCTATGCCATCTCTCCGAAGGTTCTTTGCGTCCACCAAGTATCGAGTTTCTCTTATGGTTTTGTTTCCGATCCAGAGATTTCGTCAGCCTGCTCGAGGTAGTAACCCGGATACGGAGAGTATAGAACGCTTCCAGCAGCTCGAGATGAATAGCACATTGGCTTATCGAAGGAAGATCGGACCTGTCTTTCAACTGTATAGAGGACTCCTCGAACAAGCTCGGATGAGGTCCGACTATGTCTTGCGATAGGTTTGATGCTGGTGATGTGCGAGCTGAGTGTCGATGCAATATGGTCAGGACGTTGGAGAAATAGGATGGCATTTTCAAATGTCACCGATACCGATAAAATGAGCCTCTGACTGAGGCGTATGAAGCCATCCCCCGTGGTAGATATAAGGAAGTGTGTTGCGCCCCGCCAAGATCGACAAGGCTGAGCATCGTGGCTGGTGGTCAGATGACTCTCTCGTTGATAATCCCATTCCGTCACCATCCTACATGCATCTGAAGCTTATTTGAATTTGTTGACAGAAGTTCGTCACACTTTTAGGCTCCAAAGAACTTACTCCATACGATATTATCATCCGGCTCATAACTTCGACTTACCTCTACGCCTATCCGCAACCTTTTTCTTCTTCTCGCGCGTGCTCGGAATGATCCTCTTTATCCGCCGCTCTATATAGGCCTTTGCATCATGCCCATCAGAGCTCAAACTCAGTGGGCCATCCACAGCCTTCAAGGACTTTGATCGCCCGCAGTCAAAACCCAGTTGTGGCCCTGGAAACCGAACATTGTAGCCACAGGGCAGGACTCCATGCCCCCATCCACGTCCCACTTAAAGCATGGCACCGGCATCGCGAGGTCTAACGGAATGTGAGGCGCGGCTAGCGCGATCAGCTCAGCCATTTTTAGGACCACGTATAGCTGAGCAGCAGCGTGAATGACCCCCTGCGATCCTTGCACCAAATGAAGCAGACAGACATGTGAGACAAGATCTACTGGAATCCCATCCATAATGTAGTTGCCGCTGGTTGAGCCCCTCGCGGCTCTCCAGACCCGACTCCCGCCCCCAGTGGCCAGATAGGTCTCCAGGGCGTTCTCAACAGGGTTAGAGCCCGCAGGACCGAAGAGAGGGTATGGATCTCGAAGAGCTGGCCCGATGGCGGAGGGACGTAGGATGAGCAAGGGTAGCCGAGATCCGTATCTCTGAACCAACAGTCGTTCCATGAGGTACTTGGCTTGTGCATAGGGCCAGGCCCATTGCTTCGTCCGGTTCGTGTGTCCTCTTGAGGAGAGAATCTCGTTGAGCTCTCTTTCGCAGTCGATGTCCTCTGCACCAAACGGCTGGATAGTTTCCGCGATCTCTCCATCGGGCAGGAAGCTGTTGACGTAGGCACTGGACACCTGGACGAATGTGGCGAGCTGTGGGAAGCTTGATCCAAGCTGGGCCAGATTTAGCGCTGAAAGACAATTGTTCTTGCAAGACTCGTGGACATCTGCAACGAAAGACGTATTTGCCGCTGTGTTGAGTATCACGGTTGTCTCCTTTCGAAGTACAGATAATTGCCTCGCATCCAGGTCTAAGTTCGCCGCAGTGATGTCCCCCTTGAGAAATTCCAGTTGCCCTGTGCTCATGCCTTCATCGATACATCCGGGCATGTTCCTGCGCAGCTTTACGATGGTGTCTTCCTCGGAGCTTCGATGAAGGAGAAAGACTTTCTGAACAGGTACCTGATGAATAAGTTTGAACAGGAGACACCCGCCTAGGCCACCCGTTGCTCCAGTCAGGAGCACAGTTTGTTTCGCAAACCACTCTCGGTAGAAGGCTTCGGTCAATGGTGGTGCATTCGCCATTCTGGGTATAAAATATTATGAGCCCGAAACTGACACATGCATCTCACCTCACATCACACTGCTGGGGCTCATTTATATAGTGGTTGCGAAACTCGAAACCATGTAATCACATTTCGTGATGTCAATGTTACTTATTTTGCCTCAATGCAAAGCATGCACTGCTTTCGCCACACCAGGCAGGTCTCACTCCGAGCGATTCTGATGATATGGCTCTTTCCTATGCTAGAAGCATGTGAAAAGGTCTTCGAGGAACTTAGCGTCGAATTTTATCACGCTGATAACGATCATGAATCAATTCCGACAATGAGCTCCAGACATTGTAGGACACCAGACTACTTCAGGCCCTCACTTAGATGAGAATTGCCGCAGCCTAGCAGAGCTGGAAAATAAGGTTCCCAGTATGAGGTAAATGCTGGAGTAGCTGAGTTTCAGCAAGCGCGAATTTATTTCTCGTCCTTGGACCATACCAGCATGGATCCTGGACATGCGTGCCCGGTCAGCAGAGATATAGTACAGCTTCCGTTTTCTGTAGCCAGAAGAAATCAAAGGACAGATCCACCGGAGCCCTTGAGATGACAATGGAGTCCGCTCAATTCGCCCTGCAATGACCAGAGTCTTCTCCGCTACTGTGCAGCCGATCACATGGTTAACACTTTAGCTGTTTCATCAGTCGTACTCCATCCAGCTTTCTAGTTGAATTCTCCTTGGTACTATCCAGGGTTGATATAGTATATCCACCAATGCTCTGACAGCACGCGCGTTCGTCAGGGTTCCTAGAAAGGATTCATCATCGCCAAGAAGCCAAGACGGATACTGCGTGGAGGATCAACGGACTCAGTTCCGAGAAGGCTCTAGACAGCGGAGTGTATGTGTGCGAGAGAGAGAGAGTGAGAGTCAAGGCTGGCATTGAAACCAAGATGATGATGAATAAATCCATGGTGGAGCTGTACGCGACATGGCGTTCGTTGGCTGCTGTTCGCTATTTGGAGATGCCAAGGCTGGATGGTGCATTTTCGGCGGTCAACGGGAGCATTTGCGACAATCAAAAGCTTAGATCTCCAGCCACTGTTCAGTGTTTACGGAGTAGACAACTTTACATTCACTGTTTCATCATTGGCTTGCAGCGCAAGCTGCCCGATCGCAGCCCGGAGCTTTGGGGTTCCGCTGACTATTCAATGGCAATCCGCGGATTAGAGAGCATCGTACAGGCAGTGGACCGACCGGCTGTTCGTTGTTCGTTGTTCGTTGTTCGTCAGCGTATGATGTCGGCTTCGCCTCAGCCGGGTCACAAATGATGACTGATGAAACTGAGCTTGCCTTGGCTGGGCTGACTGGTTATCCCATCCCATCCCATCCCATCCCATCCTTCTGTTCCCTCATTGCGGAACCAACGCCATGGAGCTGTGGTTGATGCTGCGGCCAAGAAAGAAGCAATCCCGTCTCCTCTCGCAAGTGCACTGAAATTTAGAAAGAATTCAGTCGTTACAGTACCCATAATATTAGACTGCTACTAAGCGTTTCGAACGACGAGGATGCTGACGCAGCCCCTGCGGTGCAGGGCCCATCCTCCACCACCAACTTCTCCTCCATCCCTCTTTCGCCGCGGTCCGTCCGGCTTTGTTCGTCTCCCCTGGGCTTGTCGTTATTATCGGCGATATTTGAACACCTCTGCCTCCGCTTCTTGTTCGCCGCGATTGTATCACCATAAGAGCTCCCGTGCTGCCTCCGGTTCTTCATCGATCTTTCCTCCCACTCTTATCGCGTGCCCCAATGCTTCCCTCCGTCCAACTGCTCGCCCGACCCTGATTCCGTCCCTCACTGCTGTTGCCTGCTCTACAAGACTACCAACCTCAATCACCCTCCCTTCAATGGCCACCCAAACAAGAGAACACGGTGGCCACCACCACCATCACCACCACCATCATGGCAGTAATGTCTACCTCACATCAACCGACAAACACGATGCTGGAGTCCGCATCACGCGGATAGGCTTGCTCGCTAACCTGTGTATGGCCATTGGCAAATTCATTGGTGGCTATGTGTTCCATTCCCAGGCCCTCATTGCCGACGCCTATCACGCCCTCACCGATCTGGTCTCGGATATTTTGACTTTAGCCACGGTTGCTTGGTCGTTGAAGCCGCCGTCGGAGCGGTTTCCCAACGGCTACGGAAAGATTGAGAGTATTGGAGCTCTAGGTGTGAGCGGGTTGTTGCTGTGCGGCGGCGTCTTCATGGGCCTCAACTCCGGGCAGGTCCTCCTACACCAATTCTACCCTGGCATCGCCGAAGCAATTGCGCACGTGGGGGCTCTGGGGCACAGCCATTCGCATAGCCATGGGGTGGAAGCGCTCGGCCCAAGCATCCATGCTGCTTGGCTGGCTGCTGGATCTATCGTGGTCAAGGAATGGCTTTACCATGCCAGTGAGTACCTTGAGAGGGTCAATCAACCAGTTTGAAAGGTGATACTGACGTCTCTTCTTCAAACAGCCATGAAGGTCGCCACGGAACGCAAGTCGTCAGTCTTGGCCTCCAACGCCGTCCACCACCGAATCGACTCCCTGACCAGCGTCGTTGCTCTTTTTACGATTGGTGGATCCTACATGTTCCAAGATGCTTCCTGGCTGGATCCCGTGGGAGGACTCCTCATCTCACTTATGGTCATAAAAGCTGGATGGGGCAATACCAAGATTTCCCTCCTGGAGTTGGCAGACACCACCGTGGACGACGATGTGAAGGCTTCGGTGCACAAAGCGGCTACTAAGGCACTGTCTTTACTGGACAGTGGCGAGTTGCTCAGAATCCATGATGTCCAAGGGATGAAGTCGGGCCAGAATTATCTTATGGATGTCGAGGTCGCAGTGCCAGGCGCGTGGTCCATTAACCGTGCTCGCGAGGTGGAAGAGGCAATGCGCACTGCTGTCGGAGAACGAGTCCGCGGCGTCAAGCGGGTCAAAGTCCGGTTCATTCCTCTTGAGCATCAGGAGTTGACCTTCACTGAAGAATTTATTCCGGCTGAGGTGACTTCGCGGGCGCGTCCTGAGCCGGAGGATGGTGACGAGCCCGAGCACGACCACGAGCATGAGCACGAAAACCGCAAAAGCCGTTAGATAACGAGGACCCGCTTGCCAGGTCGCTGTCGGTATCGACGTCTTTGCGTGTGGCCGACGAGGTCCTCTGTCGTGCTTCTCTTGGTCGTTACATTTCTCGAGGCTTTTGAGCACCATACCTTTGATACCCAGGCTTGGAATTTTTCCTGCTCTCCGCAGAGGGTTGGTAGGGTAGATAGAGCCAATATAAGATGAACATAGCAATGACATCAAGGGAAGACACTATTGTAATTAGTTTATACAGCTAAGGAGTTTTCTGATAGATGCTCGTGTATTAATGTGAATACACAGGCACGGACATGGTTGAATTGGTGAAGATCGTCCTCAGACTTGGAGTGCGCAGTTACCCCGTAACTTACCCCTCCAAGAGCGGGTGATATGCGGGGGATCGCTTCAACAGCTCAGCTGATGGTTTGACAAGACATGAACTAAGACTTATGCGTAGAAAGTTCAACAGGCCCTAAAAAAATCCGTCACAGTCCGGACTTCACTAGTGCAGGGCTCAAACATGGTCACAATGTCCCTCACAGGGTCTGATCTAGACCCCCCGTCGTTCTTCCCGTGAACTGAATTAACCGGGTAAATTCCCGGCGGCGGTGGAACCCGGGATAAATTTGACCTCATCGTTATGAGGAGGAACAGCAAATTTATGTTCGAGAAGAGCCGTGCTCGGTAAAATACACGAAGCTTCGGCAGAATCTTGTTGTGGTTATGGAGACTATGGTGATATAGATAAGGGAGAAGAAGTCTTGCCAGATGGCGACGTTGGGTCAGCTCTTCTGAATTTCTCCCCCGCTGCGCTGCACACCATAAACAAGTAGCCGGAAGTGGAAAAGGTTAGTAGCTCCGTCGATCTTAAGTTAGCATCGAATGCCCATTGCATCAGCGGTGTCTGTCGGGTTGTCCTTTGCCACACACTCTAACTTACAGTCTCTTACATTACCCCTCTATCAGTTGGTTTCTCCAATTGCTTACACTCGACCGTTCTCTTCTTTCTCATCTACTACAAAGTTTTTTTTGAGGCATATATATATCATTGAGTACCTCTTTATCTCACACCTGACACCCCATCCAACGACACCTACGTCATTACCCCGGACCGCAGCATTCCAAGTGCCATGGCCCAACCCGACAGCCCCCTCTACATCGGCTTCGACCTTTCCACCCAACAACTGAAAGGTCTGGTCGTCAACTCCGATCTCAAGGTCGTCTACGTGTCGAAATTCGACTTCGATGCCGATTCGCGCGGCTTCCCTATCAAGAAGGGCGTCCTCACCAACGAGGCCGAGCATGAGGTCTTTGCACCCGTCGCGCTCTGGCTGCAGGCTCTCGACGGCGTGTTGAATGGACTACGCCAGCAAGGACTGGATTTCCGCCGCGTCAAGGGCATCAGTGGAGCTGGTCAGCAGCATGGAAGCGTCTACTGGGGCGAGGACGCGGAGAAGCTGTTGAAGAGTCTGGATGCGAAGAAGACGCTGGAGGAGCAGCTGGAGGGAGCGTTCTCGCATCCTTTCAGCCCCAACTGGCAGGACTCGAGTACGCAGAAGGAATGCGATGAGTTCGATGCATACCTGGGTGGGCAGGAGGAGCTTGCCGCTGCTACGGGGAGCAAGGCACATCATGTAAGAAGCTTTCCTCCCCTGGGTTTTTCTGGCCCGTTCTGTGCGGAGGAGTGTCTGACAGCTGTGGTTTGCGTTTGTAGCGATTCACTGGACCTCAGATTCTGCGATTTCAGCGCAAGTATCCCGAGGTGTACAAGAAAACATTGCGGATTTCGCTGGTCTCCTCGTTCCTGGCGTCCCTGTTTTTGGGCCACATCGCGCCGTTCGATATCTCTGATGTCTGTGGTATGAATCTGTGGAATATCAAGAAGGGGGCCTACGACGAGAAACTCCTGCAGCTGTGTGCAGGGCCTTCCGGCGTGGAGGACTTGAGGCGCAAGTTGGGCGATGTTCCCGAAGATGGAGGTATCCATCTGGGTACCATCGACCGATACTATGTCGAGCGCTACGGGTTTAGTCCGGACTGCAACATCATCCCCGCCACGGGCGACAACCCGGCGACGATCCTTGCGCTTCCCTTGCGGCCATCCGATGCAATGGTTTCGCTTGGCACCTCCACTACTTTCCTTATGTCCACACCTAATTACAAGCCCGATCCTGCTACGCACTTCTTCAACCACCCCACCACTCCCGGTCTGTACATGTTCATGCTGTGCTACAAGAACGGAGGACTCGCACGTGAGCAGGTCCGCGATGCGATCAATGAGAAACTTGGGGAGACCACTGCTCTGACGTGGGCGAACTTCGATAAGATCACGCTGGAAACTCCGCCCATGGGCCAGAAATCCGACTCGGACCCCATGAAACTGGGCCTCTTCTTTCCTCGCCCGGAGATCGTGCCAAATCTCCGTGCGGGTCAATGGCGATTCGACTATGACCCTAAGAGTGGCCGTCTGCACCAGACGGAGGAGGGCTGGAACAAGCCCCTGGACGAGGCTCGCGCAATTGTCGAGAGCCAGATGCTCTCCCTGCGCCTGCGGTCGCGCGGACTGACTCAGAGTCCCGGCGGAGGACTCCCTGCTCAGCCGCGCCGAGTGTATCTGGTCGGTGGTGGATCGAAGAACAAGGCCATTGCTCAGGTAGCTGGCGAGATTCTTGGCGGTAGTGACGGTGTGTACAAGCTGGAGATCGGTGATAATGCATGTGCGCTGGGAGCTGCGTACAAGGCGGTGTGGGCCATGGAGAGAACGACTGGACAGACCTTTGAGGATCTCATTGGGCAGCGGTGGAAGGAGGAGGATTTCATCGAGAAGATTGCGGACGGATATCAGCCGGGCGTGTATGAGCGATACGGCCAGGCTGTGGAGGGATTCGAGAAGATGGAATTGGAGGTCTTGCGGCAAGAAGGGAAGCACTGAAATAATCCAATGGTGTCATGGTGAAGTGGAGTATGAGATATGATTTGCCAAAGCTATAGAATAGAGATGCAGTTATAGCTCAGAGCATGCATCAGCATGGATACCTTATCGTAGACTTCTTGACTTGTCAGCTTGTCAGCTTGTCAGCTGCGATCAGCTGCAAAAACGATGTCATTTGCTGCCTGGGAAATCAGGCCGAAGTCGCACGCCGCCCCTTGCCATTTTTGGGCAACGGACCAGCATTCCTTGGGCCACACAAACTCAGGTTCAATTTTTTGACCCTTCAGGTTCCTTTCATGTGCGAGGAAGTGACTGGCCGATAAGCGTTTCTTTGAGCATACAACTTTCGCGACCTTGAACTCTTGACACTCTCCAAAGACTTCAGCTTCTTCATTGTTTCTGCGCTGTCACTTTTCTCCCCTCGTGACTCCGCCCCGTTAGAGCAGGTTTATTACCCGAATGACTGGGTCCAAATACCCTTTGACTACTGACTACCTAGTTGTACTTGCACTGGGCCCAACCCAACACCCCCCCAGTCTGCTAAACTAAACACGCACTAGTCGGGCATGGTTTGATAGTGTCTCCGGGCTATGACTACTCGCCGCCGCATCATTCTGTCCTAAACCACCACCTTCATTGAATCTCTGTGAACTCCATCCCCCTCCCCTCCTTTCTCTCCCCTCCCCCCCTCTCCCCTCCATTGCTTTCGAGTCGTCGACTCCGAAGGCAGCCAGGCTGGTCGAAGATGGAAGAACAGGTAAGCGATATTCTCTTCGATCATCGTTATTTGTCTTCCCACGATGCGTTTCACTGGGTCTTTTTTTGCATCTTACCCGTTTTTCTTTTTTCTCGAATCCCCACCCCACCATTCCTTCCTTCCCCTTCCCCCCTCCATGCTTACCCGTCCAGTCAAATTACTCTTCCAGATTCTCGGAATTGATTTCAGGACCCTTGTTCATTGTCATGTTGACTTTCCATTAGGTAGCGAATGCCATTGAAATCGCCTGGAATCCGTCCTCCGACCAAGCCCTCAAGAACCAAGCCTACGACTACCTGAACCAGCTTCGCGCCGACCCCTCCGGATGGCAGGTCTGCCTTGCTCTCTTCACCAAAACCCCACAATACTCCGAGATTATACGCCATGTGTCGTTGGAAGTGGTCAACAGTGCGGCTCAGGCCGGCCTCCTTGACCTCCAGGCCCTAGGATATGTTCGGGATGGCTTGATGGCCTACCTTCGACAGGTCTACGGTCAGGAAACCGCCTCCCCAGATCCGCCCAACATTCAGAATAAGATCGCTCAGACCATTACCTTCCTTTTCTCCGCTCTTTACGCGAACGGTTGGGAATCCTGCTTTGACGACCTCCTCAGTCTCACCTTCAAGAGCCCCGCGAGCACGAGTCGCGACAATCCGCTCGGTATCATCTTCTACCTCCGTGTCGTCAATTCGATTCATGAGGAGATCGGCGATGTTCTGGTGTCCCGGTCCCGTACAGAGCAGGACAAGGCCAACCTCCTCAAGGACTTGATCCGGGAACGCGATATGCAGAAGATCGCCAGCTCCTGGCAAGAGATTTTGTCTGAATGGCGGGACGGCAACGATGTGATTGTGGAGATGTCGCTCAAGGCGGTTGGCAGCTGGGTGAGCTGGATTGATATCGGCCTTGTGGTGAACCAGACCATGATGGACCTGCTGTTCCAGCAGCTCAGCCGTGCGCAGAAGGCGGAACTCAGATCCGGTGAAGAGAAGGTGCGCGATGCGGCGGTTGATGTCTTCACGGAAATCATCGGCAAGAAGATGAAGCCCGAGGACAAGATTGACATGATTATTTTCCTGAATCTCGACACTATTGTTACCCAACTCTCCAATAGCCCCCCTCTCAACGAGAATAGGTTCACCTTCAAGTACGATACTGATCTGGCGGAAACGGTGGCCAAGTTAGTCAATATTACAGTCATTGATATTGTACGGGCTCTGGAGCAGGATACCATCATGGCTGACTGCAAAGAGAAAGCCACTGGTCTGCTGCAGGCCTTCCTTCCGCATATCCTGAGATACTTCTCCGACGAATATGATGAGGTCTGCTCGACTGTGATTCCCTGCGTCAGCGACCTACTGGCCTATCTGAGGAGGATGGCTAAGGTCAACCCAGCCCTGGCTGCGCAGCACTCCTCCGTCCTGCTCCCAATCTTGAAAGCCATCATTGCCAAGATGCGCTACGACGAGACATCGTCTTGGGGAGACGAGGACGATCAGACGGATGAGGCGGAGTTCCAGGAGCTTCGCAAGCGGTTAGGTGTTCTACAGCAGATTATCGCCAACGTGAACGAACCACTATACATCGACGCGGTTTCGGAAGTAGTAGGGACGACCTTCGAGAATCTGCGGCAGTCGGGTGCTCAACTTGATTGGCGCGACTTGGATCTGGCTCTCCACGAGATGTTCCTGTTTGGAGATATCGCCGTCAAAGCAGGGAGCCTCTACACCAAGGGGTCTCCCAACAACCCTGCTGCAGAGCGACTTATTGAGATGATGCTGAAGATGGTGGAGTCTGATATTCGCTCTTTCACACACCCTGCTACGCAGCTACAGTATATGGAGATATGCGTCCGCTACAGCTCGTTCTTCCAGCACCATACTCATCTAATTCCGAGCGTCTTGGAAAGCTTCCTTCAATTAATCCACCATCCGATCAAGAAGGTGAAGACACGCTCATGGTACCTGTTCCAGCGCATCGTCAAGCAGTTGCGAACCAATGTTGGCAACGTTGCTCAGACCGTGGTTGGGGCCTTGACCGACCTCCTGGTCATCCATGCAGAGGTGCCTTCAGAAGGATCGGACGGGGACGAAATGTCTTCGGAAGACCACGAAGGATCGGCAGACGCTGTGTTCAACAGTCAGCTGTATCTTTTCGAGGCTGTCGGCATCATCTGCTCTACCCCCACAGTACCCGCTGACAAGCAAGTTCTTTACGCGCAGTCCGTGTTGAACCCCATCTTCATGGACATGGAGAAGAACTTGGCGCCCGCCAAAGCCAACGACGAGAGAGCCGTTTTGCAGATTCACCATGATATCATGGCTCTGGGCACGTTGGCCCGCGGCTTCTCCGACTGGATGCCTGGAACCAGCTCTCCTGCTGCGCTCCCTGCGCCGGAAGTTTCCGAGGCATTCATGCAGGTGTCGGAAGCCACTCTCGTGGCTTTGGAGTCGCTCAAGGCTTCGTTCAATGTGCGCACGGCGGCACGATTCGCCTTCTCCCGACTTATCGGCGTTCTGGGGGCGCGCATTCTCCCCCAGCTTCCCCGCTGGATCGATGGCCTTCTCACGCAGACATCATCGCGCGACGAGATGGCCCTGTTCCTTCGGCTGTTAGACCAGGTCATCTTCGGCTTCAAGACCGAGATCACCGGTATCCTAGACACTCTTCTGACACCTTTCTTGCAAAGGGTCTTCTCCGGTATCGCGGACCCGACTACTGGCACCGATGATGAGATCCAGTTGGCGGAATTGAAACGCGAATATCTTAACTTTCTCTTGGCTGTTCTTAACAACGATCTCGGGGCTGTCATTATCAGTGAAAGTAAGTTGTATCTTGTGGCTGTCAGCATGATCTAGACTAACGATTTAGGGAACCAACCTATGTTTGATACTGTGATTACGACAATCGAGCATTTCGCCAAGGACATTGAGGATTTCACCACCGCCAAGATGGCCTTCTCAGTGCTGTCAAAGATGGGCAGCTCGTGGGGTGGTCCGGACATTGCGCCGGAGGGTCTGAACGGCGCGACAGGACAGCAGGTAGCTCTGCCCGGCTTCGGCCAGTTCATGATCAGCCGGCTGTCGCCGCTGTGCTGGGCACTGCCCGCGACACCATCGTTCAACTCGAAGGATGCACAGGCCAAGCAGGTCCTTGCGGAAGCCGGTGCGCTTCAGCGGACAATCTACGCCAAGACGGGCATGGAATATCTGGAGTATCTCCGGAATCAGGAATTGCCAGGCATGGGCATGGGGGCAGATCTCGTCGAAGAGTTCGTGGGGGCATTGAGTCGGCTGGACTTGAAGGGATTCCGGCAGTTCTTCCCGGTTCGTATTTCTTCTTCCACTCCTGGCTTGAGGCAACGGCTAACATCCCCTGCAGTCTTTTATCCAGCGATTGAGCGCATGATGTGTGGTCTTTCTATATTAAAATATCCCGTCTTCTCATTTTCCTGTTTCTCGGCCCTTTTGACCTCACCCAATCATTCTGTTTCAGTCCTAGATTCCCCCATGGTTTGGTTTGATGACTGATGTGTCTCATGTGATCATTTACACCGAAGCTCTCTTCCCCCCCATTCCACCTCCTATTATCATATCATATACACACGGTACGCCGTGAATCATGCATTCAAAAATTCTCCATTCGCCGCAAATGAATCTGCAGGCTCAAGTGCAGGCTCAAGAACAGGCAAGCAAGCAAGCATACAGAGCACGAGCACAAGCTGAGGAATGTGCCGTGAGAATAAACAAGCCAGACCAAAGAAGAAGAGAAAAAAGTATATAGTTCAGTTTTCGACTCGGCATAAGCATGAGTGGGCGTTCGAATCATAATCCTATTCCTACTTTGAACCTTTTACGCGCGGAACAGGTGGTGGACTGCATGCAGTATGCGATGGGCTAGAATAGCATCACGACGATTTCAGAATGGAGGGTAATTCTGCTAGTGCTAGTGCTTGGGGCAGGTGCATTGTTCTTTAGCTTGTTGGTTGGGTAGATAGGCAGGCATTCACTAGAGGTATATCAGAATTGTTTCTGATTCTGTGTACTGCGAGTTGGTTTGGTGCAGGTATGTTCTGATATGAGATCTGTCTCTGCGGGGCGACTGCCTTTCCCCAATCTTCTCAATCGTAACGCAGAGAAAAGGCCCCTGGCCTATTCGGTGGTCTGCAATCTTCCCTGGACGACCAACCTACAGCACGCTACGGGACAGTACAGTACAGCCCCATATGTCCAGACTACATCCTCACTACGCACCCCCCCTCAAAACCAACCCTATCATCTGCACCAACCGATCCTGCATCTCACAGAAGATACTCACGGCCTTTTACCCGTAAAAAACCAGTCAGCAACGTGCTCCCCCTTATCCAATAGAACACCCCACAAAAGAACATACCTGCGCAAGCTTCCCCTCACTCTTCCCCCGCCCCTCCCGACTAAACGCAAGCCGATACCCCGCCTCATCGTCCCGGAACGATCCCGGTGCGTCGTAGTGGATGGGCGGGGTAGTCTCGAAGAGATTCGGGACCGTAGTAGCCGCCGAAGCCGGCAGCGCGGCCAGTTGCTGCAACAGCCCCGGCGCGATGGTGATGTGGTGCACGCCGGCGAGCGCGAGGATCTCGTCTGTGGAGGTCAAGCTGGCGGGCAGGACTTGCGTGCGGCTGTTGATGGCGTGGTAGTAGGTTTGGATCTGGGGGGGGAGGGGGAGGAGGGGGGC